ATGTAAGAATTGTAGTCTATGAAGATATATAGGATAGATAACGTTTGACCATTGACCAGAAAGGTTAAGATTGGGTAACATCAATTAGAATGGTATGTTTCACAAAAGTGTCGCCATTGTGTACGTGAAATGACGGGTCAGAATTGATGAGCTTACTGATATATCACGTTGAAACACCGGGTCTTGTACGATCATCCAAGTTAAGCAAGGTGGAGCCTAGTAAGGTATGCATAGATATGCGGAGGTTACAATGGATAACGTCTCGGAGTTAGAAATCTGAGTCCCAATTCCAATCGTGTTCATGATATTCACTTGCAAGCAAATGTACTTAGGAAAGGTAAGAATCCGCCTCCTTTCTCCCAGCAATGGGTTCATTAGTAAGACGTGTATCAGTAAATCATTATTTTCTCCCAAATATTCTTCCACTCTAAAAACATTACATAATATGGTCCAATAAAAACCTACAAAAGATTGATAAACCGAAAGAAAATCAAGTAATTACTAATTGATGGTTAGATTTTTCTTCTCACTTTCTTTATTACATTTTTAAAGGGTGCAATTTTCACTGTGTCTGCCTCATCTGCATATCCGATGTTGATAAGATTATTCAAAACCCTTATAGTACTTTTAGTTATCTTCAATTATACTGCTAATAAATCATATTTGTCACTCTGTCAAGCAGCATTTATCGTATGTGTTTCACGCAGTTTGGATAAAAACATTGAATTGATTGAATAGAAAATATATGACAACCCATCTGGTAAACAGAGGAAAATAAACTTCAACGAAAAACAGTTCTTCAATTAGAGTTTTATATAAAGATTTTAGAGGGGATTAAATATAGAATACCTTAAGGGAAAGAAGAGAAAACAATTTTTTTCAATATTTTAAAAAAAGGTTTCTCGTAATCTGTGCGATTGAGACAGAGATTTACATTTTAATATTTTAGACAGAGATTTACATTTTAAAATAAATTTTACAATATTTTAAAAAAAGGTTTCTCGTAATCTGTGCGATTGAGACAGAGATTTACATTTTAAAATAAATTTTACAATATTTTAAAAAAAGGTTTCTCGTAATCTGTGCGATTGAGACAGAGATTTACATTTTAAAATAAATTTTACAATATTTTAAAAAAGGTTTCTCGTAATTGTGCGATTGAGACAGAGATTTACATTTTAAAATAAATTTTTATTTTAAAAAGGTTTCTCGTCCAGATTTATTTTAAAAATAAATTTTACAATATTTTAAAAAAAGGTTTCGCTATTGAGACAGTTTACATTTTAAAATAAATTTTACAATATTTTAAAAAAAGTTTCCGTAATCTATTGAGACGAGATTTACATTTTAAAATAAATTTTACAATATTTTAAAAAAGGTTTCTTGTATTGATTTTCAATTTTTAAAAAAGGTTTTCGTAATCTGATTGATTTACTTTTAAAATAAATTTTAGGTTTCTCGTACATTCCAGAGATTTACATTTTAAAATAAATTTTACAATATTTTAAAAAAGGTTTCTCGTAATCTTATTGAGATTTTTTCTCGTAATCTGAAAAGACAGAGATTTAATTTTAAAATAAATTTTACAATATTTTAAAAAAAAGGTTTCTCGTAATTAAGACAGAGATTTACATTTTAAAATAAATTTTATAATATTTTAAAAAAGGTTTCTCGTAATCTGTGATTGAGACAGAGATTTACATTTAAAATTTTTTACAATATTTTAAAAAAGGTTTCACAATTCGAGAGATTGAGACAGAGATTTACATTTTAAAATAAATTTTACAATATTTTAAAAAAGGTTTCTCGTAATCTGTGCGATTGAGACAGAGATTTACATTTTAAAATAAATTTTACAATATTTTAAAAAAGGTTTCTCGTAATTGATTGAGACAGAGATTTACATTTTAAAATAAATTTTACAATATTTTAAAAAGGTTTCTTAATTTTTTGAGACAGAGATTTACAAAAATAAATTTTTACAATATTTTAAAAAAAGGTTTCCGTAATCTGTGCGATTGAGACAGAGATTTACATTTTAAAATAAATTTTACAATATTTTAATTTTTTTTACATTTTAAAAAAAATTTACAATATTTTAAAAAGGTTTCTCGTAATCTGTGCGATTGAGACAGAGATTTACATTTTAAAATAAATTTTACAATATTTTAAAAAAAGGTTTCTCGTAATCTGTGCGATTGAGACAGAGATTTACATTTTAAAATAAATTTTACAATATTTTAAAAAAAGGTTTCTCGTAATCTGTGCGATTGAGACAGAGATTTACATTTTAAAATAAATTTTACAATATTTTAAAAAAAGGTTTCTCGTAATCTTTCTTTACATTTTAAAATAAATTTTACAATATTTTAAAAAAGGTTTCTCGTAATCTGTGCGATTGAGACTTTACATTTTAAAATAAATTTTACAATATTTTAAAAAGGTTTCTCGTAATCTCGATTGAGACAGAGATTTACATTTTAAAAATAAATTTTACAATATTTTAAAAAGGTTTCTCGTAATTTTTGAGACAGAGATTTACATTTTAAAATAAATTTTACAATATTTTAAAAAAGGTTTCTCGTAATTGTTGAGACAGAGATTTACATTTTAAAATAAATTTTACAATATTTTAAAAAGGTTTCTCGAGGGATTGAGACAGAGATTTAAAAAATAAATTTTACAATATTTTTAAAAAAAAGGTTTCGTTTTCAGAGATTTACATTTTAAAATAAATTTTACAATATTTTAAAAAAAGGTTTCTCGTAATCTGGGTTGAGACAGAGATTTTGCATTTTAAAATAAATTTTACAATATTTTAAAAAAAGAATTTCGATTGAGACAGAGATTTACATTTTAAATATAAATTTCAATATTTTAAAAAGGTTTTTCGAAACATTTTAAAAATAAATTTTACAATATTTTAAAAAAGGTTTCTCGTAATTGTGCGATTGAGACAGAGATTTAATTTTAAAATAAATTTTTACAATATTTTAAAAAAAGGTTTCTCGTAATCTAAAAGGATTGAGATTTACATTTTAAAATAAATTTTACAATATTTTAAAAAAGGTTTCTCGTAATCTGTGCGATTGAGACAGAGATTTACATTTTAAAATAAATTTTACAATATTTTAAAAAAGGTTTCTCGTAATCTGTGCGATTGAGAACATTTTAAAATAAATTTTACAATATTTTAAAAAAGGTTTCTCGTAATCTGTGCGATTGAGACAGAGATTTACTTTTAAAATAAATTTCTCGTACAATATTTTAAAAAAGGTTTCTCGTAATTTGCGATTGAGACAGAGATTTACATTTTAAAATAAATTTTACAATATTTTAAAAAAGGTTTCTCGTAATCTGTGCGATTGAGACAGAGATTTACATTTTAAAATCAATTTTTTACATTTTAAAATAAATTTTACAATATTTTAAAAAAGGTTTCTCGTAATCTGTGCGATTGAGACAGAGATTTACATTTTAAAATAAATTTACAATATTTTAAAAAAGGTTTCTCGTAATCTGGAACAGATATTTACTGTTTTTTAAAATAAATTTTACAATATTTTAAAAAAGGTTTCTCGTAATCTGTGCGATTGAGACAGAGATTTACATTTTTTAAATAAATTTTACAATATTTTAAAAAGGTTTCTCGTAATCTGTCGATTGAGACAGAGATTTACATTTTAAAATAAATTTTACAATATTTTAAAAAAGGTTTCTCGTAATCTGTGCGATTGAGACAGAGATTTACATTTTAAAAATTTTTACAATATTTTAAAAAAAGGTTTCTCGTAATCTGTGCGATTGAGACAGAGATTTACATTTTAAAATAAATTTTACAATATTTTAAAAAAAGGTTTCTCGTAATCTGTGCGATTGAGACAGAGATTTACATTTTAAAAAAGATAAAATTTTACAATATTTTAAAAAAAATTCAGTTTCTCGTAATCTGTTGCGATTGAGACAGAGATTTACATTTTAAAATAAATTTTACAATATTTTAAAAAAGGTTTCTCGTAATCTGTGCGATTGAGATTTTAAAATTTTTACAATATTTTAAAAAAGGGTTTCGTAATCTATTGAGACAGAGATTTACATTTTAAAATAAATTTTACAATATTTTAAAAAAGTTTCGTTTTTTTCGTCCTATTATCATCAGTTTTCTTGCCGCTAACGAGATCTTTATATTTTCATTTTTATATATATATATATTTTGTTATATATATATATATTATATATGCTATGTAGATAATATATATTTTTTTGGGGGTAAGTCAACACTTTTTAAGTTGCTTTCGAACTTAGTTTCTTTCTCCTATATTATTTTCCTTAACGATTGTTCTTTATTATTTCTGAGGGTTTAAATCATCGTTTTCTTTCTAATAAACAGAATGGGGTGAGTTGAATGCCTTTTCTATGGAAATTAGCCTTAATTGATCAAAATAGATTCGGTTATAATTTAGATTTTCGGAACGATAATTCTTCTTTCTTCATCACTAACAGTTGTCCTATATGCTCTCTATTTATATCAATCGGACTTTCATCCATATTCATGGCGTTTCGGCCGCTGTACGCTTCGACCTTCTTCAGGATCTGTCTCTATTCCTGATTAACTCCATTCGGACTTTTGTCCTCATCTTTACTTTTATATATATATATATATATATATATGATGTCGCATTACAAATGGAGCCTTAAAGTGGTCTGTTTTCTTTAAATTTTATTCGTTACTTAACATTGATATTTCATATTATATATATATTTTCGTTATATATATATATATATATATATATATATATATATATATATATATATAATGATGCGGAAAAACTCTTTCTACGGTCATTCCCGCAAAAGGAAAGCGATATTTGATTACCTTAAAATAATGTCTGCTCACGTGTCGACCCTGTTATTCAACATATTCTGAGATTTGTATTGGAACAAGGATCTCCGATTAACAATTCCAAGCCATTATCTATTACATCAGCCGCACATCCAAGCTTACAGCTACTAGTATTCACAAGCGGTCACCCATCGAGTTACTGACAAGTCTCAACGTTGCTTAAATTCGGTGATCGTAAGGGAACCGGTGTTTCTTACATGATTTGGTCGAAAACATTTAATAACCGACTATACTGGTAAGTGTTTTCTATTTTTCTACTTTATTTCTTTAAGGATTTCTAGCAATGTTAAAAATTTTGTTATTAAATACTTCATTTCTAATATTTTCATCTCTGACGGTATTCGATTTTGGAGTTATTCTTAGCTAGATTTATCAATTTGTATACAGAGAGATTTTTGAAAGTATCGTACAACTGTAGTAGGAATTCTGCTCCATGCAATTTTACGGGTACTGAATATGCAACACAAGATTAATAATTTAATTTTCCTATTTAAAAATGAAAAAAATATGAGATACTACAAGAGAATTTCAAAATTTAGCATCTCTGGGCTTTCAACTGTAGCCAATTTTGCTACTTGCAGTCCAGTTGGGCATAACTAGCCTTCAATCACTCTGAAGAAATAAAATCAGGGATTTGTAAGAAATTCTTTAAATTGTGTATGCTTGAAGCTACCATTCAAATTCATTCTGAGAAAATATTGACTGATCCATTTTGCTCTGCCGCAAAATAAAATTATTACAGTTGGAGTCAATAGGCTTTGGACAGCTGTGCCATTGGATAGAGAGAGAGAGAGACATAGCAAATGCAGAGTAATGAACTGTACTTAGTTCAGATGTTGAACTCGTAATTATAGAATCGATTTAAAAGAACAGCATGGAAAATTACCATTTCCACAGATGGAAATAATTAAATTCAGCTTCAGTATAATGGAAGAGATTTCAGATTTTGAAAAGCAAATTCGTTTCATGGACAAGCTTTACTCACATGATGCAAAACGCAGAGTAGTCAATTCACTCTACGGATCTCTAAAATTATGTGTCATTTTAAGATGTGCTCGATTAATATTATTCATAATTCACATTCCAAATGAATCCTTGTTCGTTCGCTCTACTTCAAATACACTGACGACAAATACAATTGCAACACCGTTAAAGAAGATGACCATCGTTGATTGGCCATATTTGGATAAAAAAAAATCCAAAGCCTTCGCACATGAAACCTAATTCGTTCTGAGTATGGCGATAAGCTACATACAGCAGCAAGAACCTGGAAGGACATTTTATTTGCTGTTGTTCCCAGTTCTCCGATGATCCAGAATGGTAGCACCTGCTAGGGTCCCCAGCTATGGGAAAATAGTGAGTCCTAAAATACATTAAAAAATTACCAGCAACATATCTTTATAGTACAAAAAAAAATTTACCAGCAATACATTAGGAGAGAAAAATAATTACCATCAATCATTTTTTGAAAAAAAGAAAATTACCAAAGCTCACTCATAAGGAGCTGATATACAGTTAAACAAAACCTATTACACTCATACCAAAACACAGTCTATGCAAAAGACGATTTCTTAGGTTAAATTGTATGTCAGGTCATACAGGGAGTGATACTGGTATCAGGTAACATACTGCGACCTACTGCAAGGCTGAGTCATTAAAAAATAAACCGGTTCCCTCGTTTGACCTTTTTTGGGTGTGTCAGTTAATCAGCAAGATTAAAAACAACGCTTGTCAATGGGGTGGGGCGATGTAGTACTCACTGGCCATCTAGCTCAATGGGCTAGACCGGTCTTCATAGCTATGTACGCAGTCAGTGTGGTGATGATACGATATCGATGGGTAGAGAGGTCTATAGCCTGGAGTTAACGACCAGATCTGTGCTCTACCCATCGACCAATCAGCAGTTTCCAAGAGTAGCCTTCAAATTGGAGGAAACTTGGCTGTGGTCACACCTGGAGAGCAATACACGCGCTATGCATGGCTGAATAACTTTCTGGTTTCAATGCGGAGGAAAGTGATCAGGTGCTAAGATACCCAGCGACTCGCTGGCGAATGTGTGGCGAAAAATTTTAGTACAGTCAGAGGCAATACCATGGAGATACACACGAGTTCTTTTTGTTTAATTAGAATTAGAAATTAGAATATTTTGCGTGGGTTGGATTGTAGCCTTTCGACAGGTTAAAAGCTTCGTGAAAGGAAATTGATGTGCATGTTGACTTCCATTGTACCAACACCATCCTTACACAAATAGACCAGGTTCTGGATGACCATGTAGGCGCTGAAGAGATGTAGTAGAAAATAGTTTAGTGTTCACACCAATGATCAGTGCATAGCTGAAGCAAAAGTATAAATACGGACCGTTTAATATCGTTTACTTGAGTCAAAAGCAACACTGACGTAGTGAAAACACTTCAGTCAATGTCTTTAGAGATGTCGAGGGAGGCTCATCTGGGTGTTCGAGTGACGTTAGCCGTTTTTTTGAAAATGATTTTCATGAAAATGATTGTCGTGTATATATATATATATATATATATATATATATATGTGTGTGTGTGTGCGCGCGTGTCATTCGCAGACGGTACAGTTTCGCTGTATTACAGATCCTCAGTGCGACTAAACAACCGGATGCCTCAAGCCCGGATCGAATCTCAACCGATTTGGTGTGAGTCAAAGCTTCTGCCACTGAGCTATCTTCACTCGACAGAATGAGTCAGCCAAATCAAGCCTATTGTTTTTACAAACGTAAACAAACGCCAAGCAGCCATAGTGCTCCATTCATGTTACTGAAGACCGTTGTTTTTAGAATTAGCTTGTTATTCAACAGTGTTCAAGAGCTAAATTATGTCATTCGCAGACAGTACTGATTCTCTGTATCACAGCTACACACATACACAGAACCAACCTGTAGTATTATTTTGCCAATGACATGGATTACAATTCATGCTTTCCATTGGTGTTTATCCAGGGAATGTTGAAAAGTGATGAAGAAAAAGGAAAGCGATATTTGATTACTTTAAAATAATGTCTACTCACGCGTCGACTCTGTTATTCAAGATATTCTGCAAGCTGTTTGTATTGAACAGAAAGATCGCCACACTTGTCCTACATTGAATATGTATGAGATATGGTGAGAGGACGGCTGACTCATTCAATTAACTCACCTACAACTGTTGCTGTATTTCGTCAAAAGATGCAAAAGGCGTGAAAGAGTGGAAATCACTATGAGTTTCGTCATTTGCTTTTATTAGTGATGGTGTGTGTCAAATCTCTAATATATGGTTTGTCGATGTGGAGTGTGAGTAATTTGATTATTTTTTTTATTTTAAAAGTTGTTTCTGCAATGGCTATTATATGTGAGTACTTTCCCTCATCCAGTTACGTTACCTTCAGGTTTAATCTAGATTAAACTGAAAAACATATTCAGAATACCTCAATTTTTATATATATATATATATATAAAAGAAAGAACCGTTAGGTTAATAATCCGAAGCTCTTTAGTACTTTTGTTTTTTATTTTTAAAAAACAGTGCTCAGTATACAAGTAGAGCCTATATCATAATTATTTTTTAAACTCTGATTACATTGCTACATAAGAGTTATCATTTTTAAAAACAGAAGCTAAAATCGTTAATTTCTATTGCTTCAAAATAACGGGGAAGCTTGTTCCGTGGTCCTAGACATCTCCAAAGTGTTTGATAGGGTTTGGCATGCCGGCCATCTTCGCAAGCTCCAGGGTTATGGCATTACGGGTCGATTGCTTGACCTAATACAATCATTCCTGCCAAACCGTGAATTGAAGGTCGTTCTCAACAGATTCTCCTCCAGTTCCTATCCCACGAACGCAGGTGTTCCTCAAGGCTCCATCCTAGGCCCCACTCTATTCCTTATCTACATAAATGACCTTCCTGACGCCATAAATTCCCAAGGTGGCATTTACGCGGATGACACCACAATTTACTCCTGCCTCAAAACCAACTCTAGTGTCGCTGACAAAACTGACCTGCCCGTGTGTCTCGAAAAGGACCTCCAATCGGTTGTGAACTGGGGCAGGAATTGGCTGGTCAAATTTAATGCTTCAAAAATAAAACTGCTCTCTATTAATCACCACAGAGATCCTTCCCTGCCCTCCATTAGAATGTCTGACGCTCAACTTCTCGAGGGCACATCTCTGCGGCTGATCGGCCTCACGTTGACTGCTGACCTAAGATGGAACAAATACATTGAGTCAATTGCTTCGTCCACCACAAGAAAAGTTGGCTCCTTGTACCGCGTCAGGAAATTTTTCTCCCCGGAATCAAAACTTCAGATCTACAAATCAACAATTCGCCCTTGCAAGGAGTATTGCTGCCATATATCGTCTGGAGCCCCTTCTGTTTTCCTAGGGGTTCTTGATAAGATCCAGAGGCGGATATGCAATATAATTTGCCCTGTTCTGGCATCTCGTCTACAGTCGCTCTCCCACAGACACGCCGTCGCCTCTCTCTGTCTTTTTACAAATACTTTCATGGTAATTGCTCAGGGGATCAGAATTCGCTGGTTCCCAGACTTCATGAATTCAAGCGCCCTACGAGGCTGGCATCCCGCTCTCACACTTTCACTGTCGAAATTATCAAATGTAGCCGTCTATTCTACTTCAATAGCTTCATATCTCGCACCTCTCGCCTGTGGAACTCCTTACGCTATTCCAGTTTCCCTGAGAGCTATAATTTCCAACTATTCAAATGTAATGTCAATCGACATCTCCAGTTGCCTTGATCTATCCACTATCCTTCTCCTCATCCTTTCCTCTATCACTCCTATCTGATCTTGCTCCAAATCTTCTGTAACCCCTTGCGTCCTAGTGGCTTTCCGCCTTGCTTGGGGTGAAACGCTTGAAAAAAGAAAGAAAAAACTTAGTTCTACCTGGATTCTATCCACTTGAAATTTATATGTATATATAATATATATATATATATATATATATATATATATATATATGTATATATATATGACAAAACTGTTTTAATTTATACTGTATTTATTGGTTAAATTGCTCAGTATCAGGTATTGTGTGTGTGCAAATATAAATATATCTTGGATCAATCTAGGTCTGATGATTCTAATGATGTTTCATTGTGTCGTGCTAGACATAGCCTTAACCATTTCTGCTATTTATTTGGATATTCTTGATTAAATCCAAAGAAGTATCTACCATGTTATTGGTCCTGACCT